ATTCCCAGGACTTGCCCCAGCTCTTGGGCTCCCAGGACTTGCCCCAGCCCATGTCGCTCTCGGCATGCTGGGACTTGCCCTTGCCTTTCCCCTTGGACTCCGCATGGGGGGCGCCCTTGCTGCTGCCCTTCTGCTGCCGATCGAAGAGGTTGGGATGCCCGCGAGCCGTGCACTCGCGCTCGGCGCGCATGCACAGGCTCTGCTCTTGCTGCAGCGCGTCGCGGTTGACGTTGAAAGGAGCTGGAGCCACTGGCGCGATCGGCCCACTCCCGCCTGGCCAGCTCGTCATAGATGACCGTCAGGGCTGTGGACTTGCGCGCCCCGCGCGCCCGCCCGCAACGCGCGCGGGCGGCGGCCGGCCTCGGCCGCGAGACCAGGGAAGGGAGTTCGCCTGCAGTGCGATCTGCATGACGACGTCCCTGTGCGCCATCGCGGCGGCCAGTTCAATCTGGCCCGCGAAGCTCGCGGCCAGGGCCCACCGGTCGAACGCGACCGACCAGGGCATGAGCGACAGCCCTCGCGAGGCGGCGGCTCCGCCCAGAATGCGCGCGCCGAAAGAGCGCGCCTTCTTTGTTCGCGTCCGCGCCGCCCTGACCGCCGCGCTTCTCCACCGCCCAGTGTGGCAGCCACTTCTTCAAATCGCTGTAAATGAACGGTCTCGCGATCCCCTTCGCTTGGGCCGCTTTGACCTGCGCCGCTCCGAAGCGCCGCGTGCGAACGCTGAGCGATGCACCGCGCGCGCGTGGGCGCCTGGCTGTCGAGCCAGTCGCGCGACGCCGGCGACGGCCAGCAAGCAGACGGCAAATCGCTGGGGCGGACGTCGCCCAGCTTCGCGCCGATGTCGACGCGCGCGGCCGCAGTCGGCCTGCGCGCGAGTGCGTCCGCTAGCGCAGCGACAGGGTCATTCGACCCCCGCGCCGCCCCGTCGTCGCCGCGGGCGGCGGCCATGCGCCCCGCCTCGGCCCTGGCGGCGTTCTCTGCGGCGCGCTTGACGGCGCGGTCGAGGAAGGCTACCTCCCCACCGTTGAGGCCGCCCTTGTCGAACGAACTCTCATGAATGTTGAGCCCGACTAGGTCTTGTTCAACCTGGCGCGCGCTGCGCGCGACAGACGGACCGAGAAAGCGCGTGGCGCTCGCCGTGACAGAATTCGCGTGAAGCGCTGCAATGACGTCGCGGAGGCATTCCTCGTCGCGCTCTGCGCGCGCGTCGACGCCAGACAGAAAAGCTTGCAAATCCGCCATGGGTGCGAGCGGGCGCCGCCTGTTAACGCGTACGACGCGCTCGCGCGAACTCTGCCCTTACTCGGCTGCAGCTCGCGCACCGAAGCCGACCGCGTGCACGCGGGCCTCGTTTGGCCACCTAAATGACACACGCTAAGCGTGCACGGAGGGGGCGTAGACGTCGAATCGCGTCGGAACAGCCCCCGCTCGGAAGTTCGCTCGCGCGCCACGCGTGCGGCGTAGACGTCGAATTGCGTATTAATCTGACCTCGTTCGGTCGGTCGCTCGCTATCCTCGTTCGGATGCGGCGTAGACGTCGAATTGCGTCTAATCGGACGTAGTTCGGTCGTTCGCTCGCTATCCTCGTTCGGATGCGGCGTAGACGTCGAATTGCGTCTTAGTTTGACCTCGTTCGGTCGTTCGCTCGCTATCCTCGTTCGGATGCGGTGTAGACGTCGAATTGCGTCTGATCGGACCTTGTTCGGTCGTTCGCTCACTATCCTCGTCGGCTGCGGCGTAGACGTCGAATTGCGTCTGAATTTGACCTCTTTCGGTCGTTCGCTCGCTATCCTCGTTCGGGTGCGGCGTAGACGTCGAATTGCGCCTAATCGGACCTAGTTCGGTCGTGCGCTTGCTACCGTCGGACGGCTGCGGCGTAGACGCCGAGTTGCGTCTAATTTGACCACGTTCGGTCGTTCGCGCGCGGCCCGCGCTCGGATGCGGCGTTGGCGTCGAATCGCGCATGCAACGACCTCGCGAGGCCGAAACGCAGACTGGACCTAAATTAGGTCCCGTAGTCACTAGCAGAGTAACGGGAAGTCGTCCTGGCATCTTTTCGAGTCCGGCAAAACGACGAGGGAATCGGCACCTGCGAGGGGAGAGGAGAGGGAGGAAGGAACCTGACAACAGGCACCGCGCGCGGGAGGAAGGGGGAGGGAACCTGCACGAGGGGCAGGATGTCAGCGCGGCGAAGACCGGCGCGCGCGCGCGCGGAAGCAGCAAGCAGGGGCAGGCGGCGGCGCAAGGCGAAGCGGCACGCAACGAGCAGGCAGGCGGCGGCAAGCAGCACCGCAGGGCAACGCAGCACGCAGCGAGCAGGCGAGCGGCGGCAAGCGGCAGCGACGAGCAGGCGGCGGCGCGCGGGGCGACGGCCAACGCGCGCGGTCGCGCGCGCCCCGCGCTCAAATCCCGAGCGCGGGGCGCGCCCCAGGCACACGCAAATCTGTGGTACCTGCGCGCGGCCGCGGCGGGCAGCGGCCGCGCGCGGGGGCGCGCGGGCCTGCCCACATCGCCTGCGGCGCGCCGCGGCGCGCGCGAGCCAAGCGGCGGCGCGGCGACTGCTCGCGCCTGCGTCCGCCGCGTGCGCCTGGGGCCAGCGAGTGCGTGCGATGGAACCAGGGGCCGAACTCGTTCCATACATACACATCGCTGTTAGGTTGCTTTGCCGGGATAATTGATTTGTACACTAAGCGTGGTTTGTGTCGCAGGTTCTCCACCTGGAACGAATGCAAAAGAAACCAGCCGCATGCGCCGAAGTGTTGGCTTGTTCAGAGAACGCAGTTTGCGTCGCGGGTGGGTCGCGGGCTCTCCACCTCCATCTGGAAGTTCGTGGAAGGGATTCAAAAACAGCCCGCCACAGGCGCCGAAAATCTGGACTTGTACAGTGGACGCGGTTTTGGTCGCAAGTTCTCCACCTGGAACGAATGCAAAAGAAGCCCGCCGCAGGCGCCGAAAATGTTGGGTGGGTCGCGGGGTGGGTCGCGGGTGGGTCGCGGGTGGGTCGTGGTGGGTCGGGTGGGTCGTGTGGGTCGCGGTGGGTCGCCGGAGTGGGTCGCGGGTGGGTCGCGGGTGGGTCGTGGGTGGGTCGCCGGTGGGTCGCGGGTGGGTCGCCGGGGGGGGTCTCGGGGTGGGTCGCGGGCGCGTCGCGGGGTGGGTCGCGGGTGGATAGCGGGTGGGTCGCGGGGTGGGTCGCGGGCTGGGTCGCGGGTGGGTCGCGGGCTGGGTCGCGGGTGGGTCGTGGGTGGGTCGCGGGGCGGGTCGCGGGGCGGTCGCGGGGCGGGTCGCGGGTGGGACGACGACAACAAACAACAACAAACAACAAACAACAAACAACAACCAACAACCAACAACCACCAACAACCACCAACAACAACAACAACAACAACAATCATTTAAGACTGGGGACACTCCGTTCTCACCAGTGCCAGGGTTTTCATAGGAGGCGGGCAATACCCCCACTTTGTGGGGGGGCCGGTTCAAGCTCTACCAAATTTCCAAACGACTCTTCGCCACCACCCACACCCAGCTTCCCGCCCTATGACGTTCGGACACTTCACTTCGTGGCATGCGGACGACCGTGGCTACTATTCAGGGCCCCGCGGCCGACGACGACGGCGTGCGCGCGCGAAGAAAAAACGAATGTGTCCAATATGGAATTATTTGACAGGGATGATGGCCCTGGCATGCGCGCAACCGTTGTTGCAGAAGTTCGCAACAACAACAACAACAACAACAAACAACAAACAACAAACAACAAACAACAAACAACAAACCATAAACAACAAACAACAAACAACAAACAACAAACAACAAACAACAAACAACAAACAACAAACAACAACAACAACAACAACAACAACAACAACAACAACAACAACAACAACAACAACAACAACAGCAACAGCAACAACAACAACAACATCATCCAACAACATCCAACACCATCCAACAACAACACCAACAACAATCACAACAAAAAACAACAACAACAACAATAATAATCCGCATCGCGGAATTCCACTTCAGCCACGCACCCAGGGACAGTGAATGACCGTTCGGTTCAGCCTTCATTACTCTGACATATACATATACATATATGTGAACACATACTGCCAGGAACAATCCGTCGATCTGAGGATCGCGCCGCATCACCGATACATCGGCGATGCATTGTCGATGAATCGGCAATGCCAGCGATGCATCGGCGATGCACAGGCGACGCATCGTCGACGTCGGCGATGCACGGGCGACGTCGGCGTGAAGAAAATTGGGCTCCGCATCGCGCCGCATAAGTAGGCGATTCATCTCCGATGCCGCACGATCCTCCGACCCAATCTACTCCGACCCCATCTGGGAGGCCTTGAGCCCAAGGGGGGCCCCTGATCATTCGGGGCTCACAGACATGCGACGTCCAAATTTGTTCCATACGCGGTCTCCGGAAGTCCCGACCCCTTCCACAGGACCGGTTTCTTCGTCCCTCGAGTCGTTGTCTGACGGTCCCGAGGCCCGGCGAATGCTCCGAGAGGCCGAAAATGAACAAAAACCTGCCGTCGTGATTTTTGTTCCCAGACATGCTACGTCTTGTTTTCCTCTCCCTGGGGCCAGTCTGTCATCCTGCGTCGTTCCTTGACGCGCCCGGGGCCCGGCGAGGGCCCCAAGGGGCCGAACATAATTAGCGAAAAACTGGCCGCCGCCGTGATTCCGTTTCTTACGACGCGACCATCCCTGGGTACGGCACGATCAGGTCTGGGAGCCTGTTTTTTTCTGATTCGAGCAAGCTGACTCGCATGGATGGGAGGGGGCTGAGCCTGAAGCAAGCCGAAAACAACTTCACGTGCGAGGTCACGCAAGTCGAAAAGCACTTGCAAGCTCGTACTCGATTGAAGGAAACCAGAAAACAAAAACCTCTGGGCCTCCGCCCGCCGCCGGCCGCGGCGGGCCCTCGGCACAACTTGATTGCCGCGGCGGCCGTCGCCGCGGCGGCCATATAGGGCCCCCGCCGCTGGCCGCGGCGGGCGCCCCCGGCGCGCCGGCGCTGCCGGAGAGCGCCGGCCCCGGGCGCGGGCCCCGTAGCAGCGCGGCCTCGCGGGGATTCCAAGATGGACGAACGGCGCTACGACGCTTCTGACTACCTAGCTGCCCACCCCAACCGAACCCAAAGACCCCCACTTCGGGCTGGGGTGGCGGGTACGGCTGCCACATGTGTTTTTCCAATGTTCCCCGGCGCCCCCCCCACTGGGAATGAAGGGCAAATTGGGGCCTTCGGGTTGGGTCGGGGTGGTTTGGTGGGCGGTGAGCTTTTACGACACCGCTCCCCGGAAGTGAGGCACCCAGGCAGAATAGCCCAGAATCGAATCGACAAGACGGATCGGCCGGCGATGGAAATGAATCGGATCGGCGGAAATCGGCAGCTGAGTCGGGAGAAGTGTAATCGGCGGAAACTTGCAGGCAAAAAGCCTCCAATAAGAAATCGGAAACCAAATCGAAATCCCAAATCGAATCGAATCGGAATCGGAAACAATCGAAATCGAATCGAATCGAATCGGAGGAATCGAACAAAAAGCCCTGCGCGCGGGGCGGAGGTCGTAAAAATGCTCACTGCCCAGACATGATCGTGTTGTAAGAAAATCACGACGGGAATTTTTGGGCCATTTTCGTCCTCCCCATGGGGGTCCTCGCCGGGCCCGAGGACCGTCAGAAAACGAGTCAGCATGAAAAAACAGTTCTGGAGGGTCGGGACTTCCAGGAGCCGCGTATTGAAAGAATCAAGACGTCGCATGTCTGGGAAATAATACAAATGCTCACTTCCGACCTGGGTATGTAGTTAAACTGCTTACCGGACACAGACCGGAGAAATCCCACACCAGGCGGGACAAATCCCACACCAGGCGGGAGAAATCCCACACCGGAACGACCAACCCGAGAACTGGCGGACGTCCAACCCAAGAGCTGGCGTGGCATCTTCCCCAGATAGGATCGCGTCGTTGAAAAAAATTAGCCTGGCGAAGAACCCAACCATATGTAGTTGTTCAATACCGCAATTCTGGGTATCGTATTCGGTGGAGCTCCCTATGGGGCCACGAAGCGCTGCACTTGGTGGTGCGAGACGCATGCGAAGTTTGCCACTGGGGCCTTCGGTGGAGCTCCCTATGGGCCACGAAACCCTGAACTGGGTGGGGGGGGCGCATGCGGACTTTGCCACTAAGGCTTCCGGTGGAGCTCCCAGTGGGCCACGAACCGTTGTGCTTGGTCGGGGAGACGCATGCGGATTTTGCAACTGGGGCCGTCGGAGGAGCTCCCCATGGGCCACGAAACGTTGTGCTGGGTGGGGGAGACGCATACGGACTTTGCGACTGGGGCTTTCGGTGGAGCTTCTTATGGGCCACGAAACGTTGTGCTGGGTGGGGGAAGCGCATGTGGACTTTGCCAGTGGGGTCTTCGGTGGAGCTCCATGTAAGGCCACGGATCGGTGGGGCCACGAAACGCTGTACTGGGTGTGCGGGACGCACGCGGGCGGTCCCACTGGGACCTTCGGTGGAGCTTCCTATGGGGCCACGAAACGATGTACTGAGTGTGCGGGGCGCATGCGGGCGGTCCCACTGGGGCCCGTCGGTGGAACTCCGTATGGGACCACGAAGCGCTGTACTGGGTGGTGCGAGACGCATGCGGACGGCCCCACTGGGACCTTCGGTGGAGCTCCCTATGGGGCCAAGAAACGCTGTGTTGGGTGGTGCGTGACGCATGCGGGCGGTGCCACTGGGGCCGTGGAGCTCCCTATGGGCGACGAAAGCTGTACTGGGTGGTGCGTGGCGCATGCGGGCGGTGGCACTGGGACCGTCGGTGGAGCTTCCTATGGGTCAATGAAGCGCTGTACTGGGTGGTGCGTGATGCATGCGGGCGGTGCCACTGGGAACTTCGGTGGAGCTCCCTGTGGGGCCATGAAGCGCTGTACTGGGTGGTGCGAGACGCATGCGGGCGGTGCCACTGGGGCCGTCGGTGGAGCTCCCTATGGGGCCAGGAAGCGCTGTACTGGGTGGTGCGTGACGCATGCGGGCGGTCCCACTGGGACCTTCGGTGGAGCTTCACATAAGACCACGAAGCGCTGTACTGGGTGGTGCGTGACGCATGCGGGTGGTCCCACTGGGGCCCGTCGGTGGAGCTCCCTATGGGGACACGAAACGCTGTACTGGGTGGTGCGTGACGCATGCGGGCGGTCCCTCTGGGACCTTCAGTATATCTCCCTATGGGGCCAAGAAACGCTGTGTTGGGTGGTTTGTGGCGCATGCGGGCGGTGCCACTGGAGCCTTCGGTGGAGCTCCCTATGGGGCCACGAAGCGCTGTACTGGGTGGTGCGTGACGCATGCGGGCGGTCCCATTGGGGCCTTCCATGGAGCCCCCTATGGGGCCACGAAACGTGTGAGAGGTGTGCTGAGACGGGTGATGATGATTATGATGGAGGAGGAGGAGGAGGAGGAGGAGGAGGAGGAGGACGGACTCCAGAGGATTCAGCCCCCTTGGGGTGCTGCTGCGCCGGATTAGGCCGCGGGTTGTAAGCGGGATGTAGCCCGATTGAGCGGGATGGCGAGCGGAACAAACCCAGGTCCAGCCGGATTCCGGACCAGGGCAAAGACAGAGTCGGCGGTGGACAAACCTCCCTTTAGTAAACCTCCCCTTAGTGACATCGGCCTGGGACCGAAACCGACGGTCCTGGACCCGCTAAAATGACGGCCGCGACGCCCTCTCGCGAACCGAAAACGTCCAATTCCTTAATCGACGTGTCAGGGTAGGAGGTCTGTCCACCCCCGACAGAATCCGACCTCCCAGGAGCTGCATCCGAACCTCTTCCCCAGACCCCGAAGTGATGATCTTGTCATGACGTCGACCCGCCAGCGGTCCCGACCTATTCCCCATTAGCTGGATTGTCATCCTGAGATGTTTTGTGACGGCCCCGAGACCAGAGGCCTCCTAGATGGGGTCGGAGTAGCTGGGGTCGAAGGATCGCGCCGCATCGCCAATGCATCGCCGATGCATCGGCGATGCATCGGCGATGCGTCGGCGACGTCGGCGATGCATCGGCGACGTCGACGTGAAGCAAATCGGGCCCCACATCGAGCCGCATCGCAGATGCATCGGCGATGCGGCACGATTCTCCGACCTCATCTACTCCGACCCCATCTAGGAGGCCCAGAGAGACCTTGGCAGGGGCCCCCAGAGCCGAACATAGCAGAAGATCTCCCGTCGTGATTTGTTCATGACTCGAGGGGGTCTGGATCCCAGGACAGGATCGCGTCTCGACGAGAAGCACGGCGGGAGGTTTTGGGCCACCTTCGGCACCAGCAGGGTCCGTCGCCGAGCCTCGGGCCCTCCCAAAACGGCTTGGGAAGTGGGAGAGAAAACCAGGCCCAGGGAAGGGGCAGGGACTTCCGGAGACAGTGTATTGAAAAAATCAGGGCGTCGCATGTCGGGGTCTCCGTGCCCAGACCCCTCGCTTTGTGAAAAAATCACGACGGGAGGTTTTTCTTGATTTTCGGCCTCCAAGGGCCCTCGCGGAGCCTCAGGACGGTCAAAAACGACTGCTACACTGTACGAGCCACCAGTAGGCAGAGTCAGGTGAAACTACAACACGTCATTAGCTGCCGAATAAACCCAGCTTTCCTACGTAGACCTCTGCGATGAGGCGTGCACCGCGCAGTGCCACGCGTAGGCGAATCCGAATTTGAAGCTGTACCAGATGAGACAGTTGTAAGACGAGTCCTGAGTGGAGCATGGGCTTACGTGCCCCTCCCTTGGCACCTCCACGACTCCGGATGAAAGCAGGTCCCGGGGAAGCGGTCGGGACTTCCGGGGACCGCGCATTGAAAAATCAGGACGTCGCATGTCTGGGTCTGGGTCTCCGCCGCCTCCCCTGAGACGAAGCCAGGGCGAGGATGAGATCGGGTGGGGATAGATCGGGAACCTCTGAAGTCTGGCGGTTCTGGAGGACGCCTCGGGCGCCGCGGCCTTCTCGGACCCTTCTGGAACGCTCTGAGAGCGTCCTGGAACGCCCTGGAAAAGATTCTTCCTCGTCCTAGCCCCGCCCGATCCTCCCCTCTCTCTCTTGCTCTTGCTCCTGGTTTTGTCGAGGCCCTGGTTTTGTTTCCTGGTGGGGGAGGGACCCGAGATCCTCCCCTCTCTCTCTTGCTCTTGCTCCTGCTGCTCCTGGCGGGGGGGCGCCCCCGCGCGCTCCCGTGCGCGCGAAGGCGCGCCCAAATGCCAGCAGCGCACGCGCCCTGGAGGCTCCGGTTCACGGCCCATGCTCCTGCCCAGGATCCTCCTCCCCCTCCTCCTCCTCCTCCTCCTCCTCCTCCACCTCCTCCTCCTCCTCCACCTCCTCCTCCTCCTCCTCCACCTCCTCCTCTTCCCTGTTCTGCTTCCTCCGCCCCCTCTTTCGGGGAGACATGACGCTCAGCTTCGGAGGACTTCGAGTTGGTCGGGCGGGACCGTCAGAAAAAGAAGCGAGACCCACTGTGAACATTGACGCGGACTCCCGCTGCAAACACCCGACAAAAAAACTGGACCGCCAACGTTCAGGACAGGCCCGTCCAAAAAGGCCCCGCGCACCCGGGGTCCGGCGAACTCGAGTCTTCCGTTTCCCCGCCTCTTCGCCCAACCCTCCTCCCCTCATCCACCCATGTCCGCGTGCGCGCGCGGTCGCGTCCGATGCCGCGCAGGGCGGCCTGAAAATCGGTGCGCGCTGGAGATGCCCCGAACGGCCTCTCCCAGGGCTGGACCTAACCGTTGTTAAGTGCTTGTTGTTGGTGGTGGTGCTGTTGTTGTTGTTGTTGTGGTGGTGGTTGTCGTTGTTGTTGTTGGTGTTGTTGTTGTTGTTGTTAATGTTTGTTTGTTTGTTTGTTTGTGTGTTGGTTTCGTGGTTGGTGTTGGTGTTGGTATTATTACAGATGTTATTCGTGTTGTTGATGTATGCTTGTTTGTTTGTTTATTTGTTTGTTTGTTTGTTTGGTGGTGTTGACGTTGGTGGTGTTGTTGTTATTGATGGTGTTGATGGTGTTGAGAATAGTGTTATTGCTTGTTTGATTGGCTGTTTGT